CGCCCGCGCGCTGCTGCTCGGCCTGGGTAAGCGCGTTGCGCTCGTCCTTTGACAATCGGGGAGTTTCCGCCGGCTACCGGGCACCTTGGAAATGATGTCTCTTGCGTGCCCGTCCGTCTCTCCCTCCAGCCCGGGAGGAGGGGGATCGGCATAAGAAGCGCTTTTCTTTGATAAATTAACTATTGGTCTATGTGTCATGCATGGATTTATACAGCTCCGTATTAGGCAGAATAAAAAGTCGAAAAGTTTTTGGGTTTTGCTTTTAAATTTGCTTTCTAGAGACCAATGCGCTCTGACCCTTCAAGCCGCGATCTTTCTCTAGGGGCCCGGGGTGGGGAGGGGGCGGGAGGAGATGAGCCCGGGGCGCGGGAGACCCTTTGGAAAGTAGTGCTTTCCTGCCCTTTGCCCTCCGTTCTCTAAGTCAAGCCTGGTTGAGCTCCCGGGGGCGCGGGCGGCAGGTTTGCTGGAGCCCCAGACCCCACAGGATGAAACCGCTGTTCTTACCTGGAGCGGAGGGACGCGCCCAGGTCCTGGAGCTCCTCGCCGCCAGTCGCCCGCTCACCTGCCCTTTCGGGTTTGTCCCTGAGCCCTCGTGGCGGATGGCTGGTCAGCGCTTTTCACTGGCGGGCATGGCACCCCACAGCCTGTAATCGCTGAGTGTACTTTGATGCCTATCATCATCCTATTTGAAATGAGTTAATGTTAGTCGACGGGGGTGGGGGGGGGGGGGGGGGGAATCTAGTGTAAGCTTCCTAGTTTGAATATATATATATGGCTTCTCTCCATTCCTTAAAGTTGAAGAGGAATTTGGAGTTGCATATGAAGATTTAAATAAGGAAATAAAACTTGCCAGTCTCACATTCTTTCTGGACGCGCAATGAGGCGGCTTCCCCTACCTACCTACCTACCTACCTACCTACCTGTGCAGGATGTGACAGTTAAATTGTTATTTCGACACGCCTTATCTCAGGGGTTGAGACCTAATGAAATGCATGCTACGCATAGTGGAACTTGTCTAAGTTCAGGAATGTAAGTGGACACTGGAAGTCTGGTTTCTACCAGAACTGTGCTGAGGACTTGGTAGAAGATTCTCTAGTAAATAATGTGGCTTTGTTGTCTTTGTTTTTAAATCTCTGTGAAAATAATAAAATTGGAAAGGTGACAGTCTTCCTAGAGTTAGAGCTTAACCTAGAGGTCACAGTGGCTTAGCGCTTTCCCCCCTCACCTGTAAGGTTGCATCTGAACAATGCCAAGTGTCTGTTCGGGGACAGTCATTAAATATTCTAATTTGAGACAGCAAGAGCCTATGAATAACCTGGTTACTACCCACCTATGTTGTGTGTGTTTTTGTTGTCATGAAAGTGCTTAACTCCTTTATTGCATTACTTAATTATAGTTCACTTATTTCATCAGCTGCCAAGCCCATTTCCAAATGAGCTAGGTCAGTTTCTGTTTTCCCAGTGTGTTCAGATATTTCTCTGCCACTAGGAAAGTTCCTGTTTGAAGTTCTATATCATTTCTCCACACTCTAAGCAAGGATGCAAGTCCAATAGTTTTATTCTAAAGCACCTGGAAAAGAATAGTTTTAGAATAGTTTTATTCTAAAACTTAGAATAGTTTTATTCTAAGCACCGGGAAAAAGATAAGATCATCTGTTAATTCTGAAATTGCCCCCTCCCCAACAAAAATATAATCTAGAAAAACTTTTCCCAAATGACTTTTCTCATTTATTTTAGATTTCAGCAAACTGTTTATTATTTCCATTTTGTGGAATTCATATGTCTCTTCGATACTTAGGGGCTCTTGATCTAAAATAAAGCATTTTCATTGATACCCAAATGGACTTTTGAGCATATTCCTGAATGATATCTCCAAGACAATTTCTGCGTACCTCATTGCACAATGACAGAGAATTGAGCAGAATAAACATTTATTTTCTTGAAAATATGGGAAGCATGGATCTCAATGAGACATTGGCTCTCCTCAGATCTTTTCTGTTGACCTGAGAGCTCGTGAGCTGCCTGAATGTTAGCACACCTGAGATGACACCTCTAGGCAGAAAACATGAGGACAGGCCTCTCCTGTCTGGGTTTTGACCCAGGTACCCAGCTGCCTTCCACATCACCTGGCCATATGAACAACTTGGGTAACTGGGGTATGTGGTTCCACATTGGGGGCCAAATCTAGGAGTTTGGAAGGGAACTAACAGTTACCAAGTGCCTACTGTGAGCCAATCATGCTGTGTGGTAGGTGCTTTACACATATCATCTCACTTACTTCTTAAAGGAACTGTATGAGGTTGGTATGAGTAGCCCAGTTGGACAGATGAAGGAACTAAGGCTCAGAAAGAAACTAGAGTAAATGGCAAGAATAAATGTCTTCTGTCCATTTTTGCCCAAGAATCTCCCATTTCCTGGTTAATAGTCACACAAAAGATACAAATGTCATGTAAGAAATCCTCTTCAAAGGGACTATAATTAAGGTGTGGTTTCCTCATCTATAAGACTTCACCCTGAGTATAGACTTATGCAAAGTGTCTAACTAATAAGGTTGTAATTTCTGCTGGGAACATTTCTTAGGAAGGAAGACAATGGTGAGACACCCCAAAGCTGTGATATCCTTGGGGAGGAGCACCCTGACAGCCATCCCCTTGGTATAGCAATTCTGGAAGCTTTAACAAGTGAAGAAATATGGCAGACTCAGTGTCCTCTGGCAATGTGTTATGAAAGACTGGGTGTCTACTTAGAGGGCAAAGAAAAGTTCTGTGACATTCTAGGTTAAAGTAATGACTTTATTAACTAGGATTCTATCTATAATACACAAGATGACTTGATAATTGTCCAGAAAAAATGTTAACCCTTAACTTTTTTAGGACAAAAATCCTGAATTTTAAATTTGAGGCATGAAAGTGAGTTAAATGCAAATCCTCTTGCAAACCCTCCAGATCAGGGAAAAAGTCTCACTCTCATATATAAAAATATACACATTTATATATGTCAAATTTGATAGTTTTGAAATCAAGAGACATAGATAGTACATAGAATATAGGGTTCACACCCCAGTTTTTTTATTTGATACTTCCAGAAAGATTTATTCCTTTGTGAACCTCAGTTTTCTCATCTGTAAGATGGAGATCATAATAACTATGTTATCAGGTTATTGTATATGGAATTAACAAATTGAATATTAGAAAATAATAAAAAATACTTTTAAAATTAGAGCTATTTTCATCATCATCATCATTAAGTGCTTTCTTATAAAACACCTCATTTAAACTTTATAACTCTCTTTTAACCAGGAAAGGTATCATTATTCACATTTTTTAAACAAGGAAACAAATTTAAAAAGAAGTGTTATCCCTCGCATAAGGCTTCATTTTTTAATGTGCGGACCTTCTGCTGGGGACAACCCTAACTCACTCTTCACTTTTGGTGAAAGATCTACTCATTCTTTAAGTCTGGAGAAAAGTGTCAAGCTTTCTCTGATAACCCCCTCCACCTTTCTTCTCCCACCACTCAAAAAGAAGTATGTAGATTTACCTGACAGGGAAGATACCATGGTCACAAAGACGGTTTTCTCAGGACCAGGGGTATCTCTTACACTCCAGATGTGCTGACCCCTGAGACGTCCCCAACTGTGGGAAACTCGATTGCACAATTTGTGGAAGTGGGGGACTGTGTTCACATTCTCCCCTGGCATAAATAAACAATATAAGATAAAGTAAAAATACATAAATAAATGTGCAGCCTGTCCCCCAGTCCCCTTATACCTCTCCCATTCCTGTGGTCCTGCCCTTTTCAAGTAATACTGTGCATCTAGCCCTGTTTCTCCTTACTGGTGCTGCACTTGTCTGTTTTCATTCACACTGTGATACACTAATATTAAGCACTCAGTAAATGTTAGTTGGATGCATGATTAGCTTGATACTTTTAGAATTCTCACCACTATGTTTTGACTCAGCCAGCTGTTCTTCGGAAATGTACTTGAGAAGCTAAATATTTTGAGACTAAGCAGTAGTTCTTTAAAATTCAACTTTGTTGTTTATGATAAAACCTAATAATTGTTCTATAAAACCTAATAATTGTTCTTCCCACGTTTCCCCATTCATGTCTGTATTCAGTGATGATATGCCTAAAAATATTTAAGCATATTTTAAATTACACACTGTGTGTGTGTGTGTGTGTGTGTGTGTGTGTGAGAGAGAGAGAGAGAGAGAGAGAGAGAGAGAGAGAGAGAGAGAGAGAAATTGAGCAGTGATATGACTGAATGATGAATAGTCAGTAAAAGAAAGAAAAGTATTGTTTTAGTAATGAAAGGGACCTTAGAGTAATTTAATCTAAATTCCATCCCCCTCTAACCTACTCCATTCCTAGGTCTCTATTTTCAGAGAAAAGGAATCTCAGCTGCAGGGAAATAAAATTAGTTTCTGAGCTACAACTAGACTCCATCCCTCATGTCTCTAATGCAGAGTCTGGGGGCCTTGGCCATATTCACATTATGGACTGGATAATCCTTTTATGGGAGTCTTCCTATGAATTGCAGGGTGTTCAGCAGCAATCCCTGGCTTCTACCCACTAGATGTCAGTAGCACCCCCCCCCCAGTTGTGACACCCAAAAATGCCACCAGGCATTGCCAAATGTCCCTGGTTGACAAAATTACTCTGGATTGAGAATCACTAGCCTAATGGGTTTTCCACTGGCACTCATAACTCAAAGTTTGAATAATCAATGCTTGAGTTACCAAGACAAATAAAATTAATATTAATGGTAAGCCAGATGCAAACATAAAACCAATTCTAGTGTTAAAAAAGTCAACTGAGCAATTTTTATTGCTGATTTTAGCACCATTTGCCCTGAATAATGATGAATCCTATTTATGATGGTGTCACTCATACTTTCTTCATATATAATTGCTTTGCTGACTACCCCATGCCTCCTTTTATAATTCTACCTATTGGTTCATACAACACTGAACTTCCTTTTCTCGTGAATTTCCTTGGCCATTTCTAATCACTCTTGATTACCT